ACACAGGTGAGACAGGGACAGGTGACACACAGGGACAGGGCCAGCAGAGCCCCCATGAACATCTCCCCGCTCTCATTGGGGCCGTCCTGCACCTCCACCTGGGGACAGGTGAGACAGGGACAGGTGAGACAGGAACAGGTGAGACACAGGTGAGACACAGGTGAGACACAGGTGAGACACAGGTGAGACAGGGACAGGTGAGACAGGGACAGGTGAGACACAGGTGAGATACTGACAGGTGAGACAGGTGACACACAGGGACAGGGCCAGCAGAGCCCCCAGGAACATCTCCCCGCTCTCGTTGGGGCCGTCCTGCACCTCCACCTGGGGACACAGGTGAGATACAGGTGAGACACAGGGACACAGGTGAGACAGGGACAGGGACAGGTGACACAGAGGGACAGGGCCAGCAGAGGCCCCAGGAACATCTCCCGCTCTTGCTGGGGCCGTCCTGCACCTCCACCTGGGGACAGGGACAGGTGAGACACAGGGGAGACACAGGTGAGATACTGACAGGTGAGACAGGGACAGGGACAGGTGACACACAGGGACAGGGCCAGCAGAGCCCCCAGGAACATCTCCCCGCTCTCATTGGGGCCGTCCTGCACCTCCACCTGGGGACAGGTGAGACACAGGGGAGACACAGGTGAGACACAGGTGAGACACAGGTGAGACACAGGTGAGACAGGGACAGGTGAGACAGGGACAGGGACAGGTGACACACAGGGACAGGGCCAGCAGAGCCCCCAGGAACATCTCCTGCTCTCGTTGGGGCCGTCCTGCACCTCCACCTGGGGACAGGGACAGGTGAGACACAGGGGAGACACAGGGACACAGGTGAGACAGGGACAGGGACAGATGACACAGAGGGACAGGGCCAGCAGGGACAGGGAGAGGTGAGACACAGACAGGTGAGACACAGGGACAGGGACAGGTGAGACAGGGTCAGGTGAGACACAGGGCCAGCAGGGTGGGGACACTGCACACAGCAGTGGCACCGGGACACCGGGGGTGGCAGGACGGGGACAGTGGGACACTGGGGACAGCAGGACAGGGACAGTGGGACACCAGGGACAGATGGACAGGAACACCGGGACAGCAGGGGTGGCAGGACGGGGACAGTGGGACACTGGGGACAGCAGGACAGGGTCCCAGGGACACTGGGGACACTGGGGACAGCAGGACAGGGACAGCGCAGGTGGCAGCAGTGGCAGGGGTGGCAGGGGTGGCAGGGGTGTCACCTCCTGTGCCAGCGCCTTGGCCTCGGCCTCGGTGTGGCTGACGCCGATGAGGTTCCGGAAGGCCACGAACTCCATGGAGTGACAGGCGGAGCACACCTGGCGGTACACCTGGAACCCCCTGCGCACACTGCGGGGACAGAGACCCAAAATCAGCCAAAATGTACCCAAAATCCACCCAAACACACCTGGCGGTACACCTGGAACCCCCTGCGCACACTGCGGGGACAGAGACCCAAAATCAGCCAAAATCACCCCAAAATCCACCCAAAATCACCCCAAACACACCTGGCGGTACACCTGGAACCCCCTGCGCACACTGCGGGGGGACAGAGACCCCAAAATCAGCCAAAATCCCCCCAAAATCCCCCCAAACACACCTGGAACCCCCTGCGCACACTGCGAGGACAGAGACCCCAAAATCAGCCAAAATCACCCCAAAATCCACCCAAACACACCTGGAACCCCCTGCGCACACTGCGGGGACAGAGACCCCAAAATCAGCCAAAATCACCCCAAAATCCACCCAAACACACCTGGAACCCCCTGCAGACACTGCAGATGCTTGAGACCCTAAAAAAATCCCAAAAACCCCACAATCTCCAAAAACACCCCCGGAACCCCCAATGGACACTGCAGAAGTTAGACACCCTAAAAATCTACAAAATCTCCCAAAACACCCCCGGAACCCCCCTGCACGCTGTGGGG